ATTGAACAAAACAAAACTAAAGTGCATGTATCTGATTTGTTCTGTCATTACAGGCAATTGACAAATTATATTCTGACTGTTAGAAATATAATTCAATGCTTAGTGTCTGTCTGACGTGGACAATTATAATCCTCATTAATGAATGAGTGTTTGCCTCGGGGTAATCCAAATATCACAGTAATTAGATATATGTAATGACGATATAAAAATATAGTTGGGACATTTCCAGTGCTTGCAGTTTCATACAACTTGACTGAATGACTATACAAACAATTTGGCTGACTAGCTATCCAATTGCTACACTGGGATAATTCATAGTCACTGACAGACCTGGTTTACACGAAGGAACACACGTTTTGTTTTTGTAATACTGTTTGTGAGTAGTTGACGTAGCAATAAATAGAGAAGGCGGACTTGCAGTTTTATACAATGTGGCTGACTAAGCTCTCCAGTTGCTACACTGAACTAAGTCACTGGAAGACCTGATTTACGCGAAAGAACACATGTTTTGTTTGTAATACTGTTTGTGAGTAGTTGACGTAGCAATAAATAGAGAAGGCGGACTTGCAGTTTTATAAAATTTGGCTGACTAAGCTCTCCAGTTGCTACACTGGACTAAGTCACTGGAAGACCTGGTTTACACGAAAGAACACATGTTTTGTTTTTGCAATACTGTTTGTGAGTAGTTGACGTAGCAATAAATAGAAAAGGCGGGCTTGCAGTTTTATAAAATTTGGCTGACTAAGATCTCCAGTTGCTACACTGGACTAAGTCACTGGAAGACCTGGTTTACGCGAAGGAACACATGTTTTGTTTGTAATACTGTTTGTGAGTAGTTGACGTAGCAATAAATAGAGAAGGCGGACTTGCAGTTTTATAAAATTTGGCTGACTCAGCTCTCCAGTTGCTACACTGGACTAAGTCACTGGAAGACCTGATTTACACGAAAGAACACATGTTTTGTTTGTAATACTGTTCATGAGCTGTAAACGTAGCAATGAATAGGAAAGTCGGGTTTAAAATTCAATCGTAGCTTTTCGGTACTTTCCGTCAGTCTTTATGAATAATAGCCGAGATGTTCCGATTGCCTGAAGTTTTCGCCATGTCTGTATCGGATAATCACCAAATGATTTGTAGTTTGTAGTTTAAGAAAACTGTTTTGTAACGGTATCATATCTAAGTTTGACACTTTCCTTGCCATACTAGAAATATATCATTATAAACGCTCATTGAAGAAATCAAAACAAGTTTTCTAAAATGAAAATGGACTGCATATTACTTTCCTTTTTGAAAGTAATGAGAAACCAAAGTGTTTTATGTTCATAGCAAATATCAAATAAAATATTCTTCATGTAATCTGAACATTATATGATTAATATCATTTGGAATTTCAATACTTTATTTGTTTTCTTTTCGAGAAAAATATATATCTGAAGAGTATGAATTTCAAAGAATCTTTCTTTGATGTTTTTTTTTGCATGGATTTGAGGCAAAGTTTTATTCTATGTATATTCAATATATTGTCTTATATTTCTTAGTTTATTCCTGGTTTTTTGAAAGTTTAGGTATTTTACTAAATGAGCTTCGAATGTATACTCTCTGAATAGAAAGCAAAGAATGATTAATGCTATAACAAAATGTTCAGGTCATATAATTCAAAAAATAGTTATACGCATGCAGCTCATGTGTAGGCATATTCAAAGATGTTGACATTGTACTACATAAATTCTAAAGAAACCCTTATTTAAATTTAATGATTCCTGTTGCGTATGAAATAGCCTTGATGAAAGTGTTTAGGATTATTGTTTGTCTATTTGTTTGTTTGTTCAAGTTTAACGGCCACACAGACAAATTACTGGTCATGCCGCGCAGAACACTATAATCAGTAGGTCTAAATTGAATACAGAAGGGATAGCCCGTAACACACATGATTTGAACCGCACTTTTATGATATTTTTTATAACCGATATCATCTCCATCCCTATACTTTGCGTGCTTTAGCTGCATTCGTGAAGACGCAATTGCATATTAACATTATTTTAGAACAGAAATAACACGTCGTCCTTTTCATAAATAAATACCCGCCGAAAGGTAATTTGCAATTAATAACCCAAAAACGTGACACCAGAGAATCTAACAACGCCAGTAATGATAATGTTGTTGAAAGAAAAAGAAGAAGACGCGTGCGTAACGGGGTCTTGATTTTATATCACTCCTTTAGTATAGCAGTTATACTGGTCACAAATTATTTGCTTATTTCCAATATAATAATCGTTTGTTTAAAAAGGAGCTGTAACGGTTCACCAATAAACAGCTTCAAAACAGTCCTAAAATTTCAAACATCGCTGTCGTTATCCAATGAATCACAAATAGACCAATCTTTTAAAGGTAATTTCATTATGATACCATTAACTAACATGATAATTAGTTGTTGCTGCTAGAAGTAAAATCGTTTACCTGTTGTTTCATACATGATACCCGAAAACTATTATGGTCCTTTTTGTAAAAAATAAAGAAGTAGTATCATTGCATCCTTTGAATTACTTCATGTGATGAAGCTATCCAGATAGCCTACGGCAAGTTAGTTGTTCTACTTAGGTACATGATTTTGTCAAACGGGCAACTGAGGTCTTCAACAGTATCAAGGTGATTTAAAATTAAACAAAACAAAATATAAACTTCAGGTTTAATAAACATCTGCGGATGTTTCTAAATTCAAAAATTCACAATTTTTGTGTTTAAATGTTGAGTTCTGTTTAAACCGGTGCTATGGGGCGTGAACGGTAACTTGCACTTTCCAGTATCGTTCATGAACAGGCTCAATCAAACCGAGCCTGCAACATTTTACAACTTTGCCGTGTTGGGCTTTCTTTAGGGATTCTGTTTTTCTCTATGTGAACATAAAATTTCTAATCCCAAAACCTTAAAAACAGTTTGTGATTCATTTATCATAGCTCTATAATAGTATACATTGTTAAAAGTTTTTTGTTTAATCTTTGATAACTGTCCTCCTACATGTTTGTATGTATATAATATATAGAACTAATCTTGCTATAGTAAATTCTATAAATAGATAGTGTAGTGTTTTTATAACGCCATTACAACTATTTATTAAGAAAACCAACTTATACCTTATTTGTGAGTCATCTATGACTTAAATTGGTGTCATATAACCCAAATTGTGTCAGTGCGCCGTAAAACCAACCAAACAAACAAGCATAAAAGTTTTTACCAATAGTAATGATAACTTTCAAGAGACTGACTACCCGTATGAAGTTCAACAATATTTTGTTTTATCAAATTAAATGTTGAAGTGACATTATGCCCATCCAAGAATATATGGTGAGCGAACAGGTGAAGTCAAACTAAGTTTACATTTAGCCATGATTCCTTTCAATTTTACAATTTCTTTCGCATTAACGATAAATAGCATATAACACAAAGGAATTTTTATAAATAGCCATAGAAAATGTTTAATTTATAAAAAAAGGTGGGACAGTCTTTCTATATTTTAGGCAGATTAATATTTCATCCTAAACATTTTCCAATTTCAACGGTTGGTCATCACAATTATAACAGTCAATCTTTTGAAATACATAAGTAAATTCAGCTTATAATAATAATGACAAAAATGAGCATAATGTCAGTAGAAAAGGATTTTTTACCAATTTGATCATCATACAATTTTTATGATCATACAATCAATTTTGTCATACATATATATATTCAATCATGAACAAAATTAAATTGTAATTCTTGTCCTTTTGGTCACGAATACATATGTAATGTTTCAAAATGCCAAACTAAACACAATAGTCTTGCATTCTTGTTGAATTCTGCTTATGTCGGTGCTGGGGTAGGGGCAGGTGAGAGGAAGGGCACTTTAGGGAAAGTTGAATTTACAACTACCGTCCGTGACCTTGCTGAATCAAATCTTGCATCATTTTCAATTTTGCAATGTCGGGCAACCTTTACGCTTTTCATTTACTCCATATAAAATAGAAAAAATAAGAATCCCTAAAGAAAGCCCAATCAGTCCATATTGTTTATATTGCAGATTTATTTATTTCAAAACTTTCACAACCAAAACCTGATACAGACATGTAAACATTTGTGTTACATCAACCAATTCTAAACATAACGATGAAATTGTTGTTTAACTTTATTTTTGCTGGGTCTAAGCATTATACGTGTTGATAATTCAATAAAGATAATAACTCCTAAAATAATGCATATTATTAAAAAAAACATATATGGTATTCTAGAAACAATTTTAAAGCTATTATAATGTCGCATCTTACATCAGATCGTGACTTTAGTCTATCTTAGGTATGCCAGATCGTGATTTTACACACGCATTCGTGAATTCACACGCATTCTTTTGTTTGAGACAATAACAAATCTCGTTGAAGGTTCCATAATAACCGCCGTCTGGAAATCGGTTAATGTTTTTAATTCAAATTTTCTACCATAAGTAATCCATATTAAATGTTGAATTCTGCTTTAGCCGGTGCTAGGGGACGGGACAATAACTTACACCTATAAGCACCGTTCATGAACAGGCTCAATCAAACCAAGCCTTCAACAATTTGAGTTTTTCCGTTTTTCTATTTTTTCTAGATTTAAGTCTATCTTTGATATGACAGATGGGTATCGACTGTTTTGATGTTTGATTTCAAGAACAAACCCTATTACATTACTCTTTTGAACAATGATAGTATGTGGAAATTCAAATTACTGTTTCAACTTTCTAGGGCATTTCTGGCATGACGGCGTTTTGACTCGATTTCACATCAAGTTAGCATGAGGGGGTGTGAGGGATTTTGCTTTTTTTCATTATCCCTCATGTACAGAATCAATCAAACCTAGTCTGCAATTTTCATGTATTTATGCTGTTTTGAATGCTTCCGAGGGATCACTTTTTTCCAGATATTTCAATACAGTTGTCAAACACAGCTTGAAAACATATGCTCAATATAATCCACATCATTGATATTTGCATCATGCTCTGAAAGTTAGATGAGATAAAAACTTACCCTGTTGTCATTTTCTAATTTCACAGTATGTTCGTCAGCACTTCGTTTAGATCTGTGGGGTACATCATTATGTCTTAATACGTAGTGGTCTTCAAATGCTCTCAACTGTAAATAAAAAAAACTGTCTATTTAAGGAAAGCTACAAACAAAAGTCATTGAAATTTACAATTATTGGTTGATTTAATGATTAAATGGGGCATGTTAAAGTCTTACTTTGAACCGCATAGCCGTGACTGCTGTGGTTTTGAATTCCACCAGAGACTTTCAATTCTTTCATGTGAGGAAACTGTCAAGCTAGCTTACGGAACATCGGTTGTTCTACTCAGGAACACACTCGTATAATTGTGTCTCTCTGGCAAGTTGCTGAGGGGTTGCCGTCAACGGTTGAGGCATAAAAATTGCAGCCACTGTTTATCCCATATAATATAATAATAAGAGGCGACTAAATGGGTTCGTGTACCTGGAGCCTATGCTCCAGCACGTAAGGTTGTTTGACTCCTGGTGTTATTTGGAAACTTGTAAGACCCGAGGTTAGCCAAAATCGTATTTCCTTTGCGGCGCCATATGACCTACACTATGTTATTGCGACATAAAACTAAACGTTAGATCCCTATAATATACTTGTTTTATTTCTGAAATCAAAGTTCATGCATGCCAATTAATATTTCCAATAAAATGTGAATTGAAATGTGTTATCTACTATTTGCAAAAGACCATATACTTAGATTTTCTTTGCAATATTTCAACATTACCAAATAACATGATGTTGTTATGATCATTTTACTGTTTAATTCACCTTAAGGCCCGGTCACACAGCCCTCCACGGGCGTATCGCGGCCGAATAACGGCCAAAAATTTCTGCCCGTGAAGCAGACGCTGTTGGACGCTTTGAGGTCGCGATAAAGACGCGATACAGCCGTACTTTACCCGTCGTTACACACGGTAAGAAATTCACACGCGGTTGGCCGCGCGAAAAAGTTTTGGAATGCCCAAAAATTTAGACCGCGGGTAATCGCGGGCGGTACACGTGGTACACACGCGGTAAAGACGCAGTACAGACGCGGAACGAACGTGTTAGGACGTGCTACGGCCGCGGTTAAGACGTGGTTACACGCGGTAGGACGCGAAATTTTAGCGGGTAATCGCGGGTGGAGCACGGTCATAGCACGTTTCTTCCGCGTCTGTACCGCGTTGTTATCACGTGCATTAGCGTGTGTACCGCGTGTAAGCACGGACAAATGCCTTTCTCCGCGTAAACAGCGCGCCCCAATACCGGCCTAATCACGTTCAATTGCGTCTTGTACACGTCCCAAATACGATTGTCCACGGCCTAATCGCGTCTGTACAACGTCTGATTTTAGGTATATAAAAAGCGCGATTTGCCGAGCATTCACGGGACTGTGTCTTGAGCTGTTATGATTTCTACAGCCCGGTTCGGCTGCTTTATTATACCCGTGGTAGGCCGCGGTACCGCCGCGCTTCACCCGCGATAAGGACGCGGAACAGTCGCCGGCGTCTGTTCCGCGGGTAAACCGCGGGTAAGCCAATTTTGCACATTTTCCACCACGGGCAACCGCGGGCAAAAAAAAAATCGCGAAATTTTACCCGCGATACAGACGCGAAAGGCTGTGTGACCGGGCCTTTAATAAGCAAGTACTGTCTCTAATAAATGCATGTTCAAATCAGACTTCTTAAAGAAAAAAAAAACAGTTTTCAGTAAACTGCTGCAGGTACATCCAGGAAATTCTGTAAATTAGATTCACGACCGTGAACATTTAGATCTTATAGCACATTAATTGCATTGTGTCATCATAAAAATACGACATCGGTTTTAAATTATAAAATGACTTAAGCTTAGACTTAGTTCTCAAGTACTCTTGTTTATACAATACCTAAAATATATCATTTTAAGTCATGTCTAGAACAATCTATTTTTTCACCACAAACCGTCATTGTCTATTGTTCTAAAACTTTAACACACAAGATTTATATGTATTTTGCATGATCGGTTATTTTCGTGTGCTTAAATTTTAATGGTCTGTTAAATAGATTTTAAAAGGTATAACTTGTAAGTGTATACAGCAGTAATCTATCGCTTAATTCCATGGTTACCACAAAGATAGTCACGTTAGAAGAACATCAGTTATTTTGTGTCTTATATATACAAGAACAGTAATTATTAAAGTAAAATTCTGATGAAGATATATTGGCACTGTTTTGTTAATTTTATTGGTTAAGATTTCTTGAAACATCAATAAAAATAGATATAGTGTACAGAATGATTATTTAGAATTTCAACATTTTCTGACTCCCAACAGAAAATGTTCGCAGCAATGTTTTGAGTACATGTATATTTATACAAATTTAGCATTTGCTATGATTTGTTTTTGTATTTGTACATGGTCGCATTAATTTCTTTACATAACATATACTACTAATATTTTTACTAGGTATAAAATTCAAAATACATGTAGTTAAAATATGAAAGAAAGAAAAGCGCACTTTACGAGTACCTTACAGGCACCGTTTTTGCAAACGTAAATAATAATAATAATAATAATAATAATAATAATAATAATAATAATGATAAAACATAAAAAAACAATAAAAAACAGCACCCCAACACTCAGCAGTTATACTATATGATGGGATGAATACAATCTCATTTCATAAGCAAAATATTCATCAAATTTTATCATTTTAAGTTCACCTGGTCTTGTCACTATCGATATTGTAATAAAATAGTACAAATGTACTTGCAAACACCACCGGTTTCATTTTACTCATACGAATTCAGAAAAACCAACTGCGTTCAATCTGATGCCACTCCGCGCGCTTGCATTTTGTGTTTTGAATAAATCTTATCATTATAAATTATCACTCACACAATCAGCCGTAAAATTGTTCTGACGGGATAAAAGACTTTCAATATAGTATTTTAAGTAATAATCAAATACAAATGAGCAACGTCACGACAATACCAACATAATGGGTATGCGACCAGCATGGATCCCGACCAGCCTGCGCATCCGCGCAGTCTGATCAGGATCCATGATGTTCGCTATCAGTTTCTCTACTTGTAATGGAGTTGGTAAGCGAACAGCATGGATCCTTATCAGACTGCGCGGATGCGCTGGCTGGTCTGGATCCATGCTGGTCGCAAACACACTATGTTGGTTTTGTCGTGACGCGGCTCAAATGTTAAAAAGTAAAGGATCAGCCGTCAATCAGTGACTGGTCTATAGTATTTATAGAATATTAAAATTAAACCAGATGGATACTATCTTTTTGAATACCTTATAATGTATGTATATCCAATAAATATCTAGTATTTTAACAATTTTTTATAGTGTTTGTTTTAAGAATTAAAGTGCAATAATGGCTCTCATTCGTATTGTAATTTCTCTACTTATTTAGCATTTATAAATGGCTTGCGTACTTGATACATGTATATCAATCAGTATATCACTTAGGTTCTTTGACATGTCAGGACTGGAAATATTTCTTTCGAGATAAATATTCAATTTTATGTAGGTCTAGACCAGAAACTTGTGGACACAATTTCAGATCGTTTGCTCATTCCGTTTTTTCCAGACCAATTACTCTATATGTGAAATGACTGAAAATTGAAAAGCGTTGCAACGCTTTTCACTGAAATTTGACTAAGAATAGCACCCAAATACTATTTTTAATTTATTTATGGGTATATTTCGTAATTACCTTTTGCATATTTTTCTGTTTTAAACGCCCCAGCGAAGTGAAATCTTTTTGAAGCACGCTAGTTATTATAGTATTGCGTTTGTGTGAATAAACATAATTATGCGCACATATTATATCATATTATCCAATGTGGTCTTCTAAGTATATGTTTTAAAGATAAATAGTATCATTATGATGTAGAGAAACGCTTTTTGCTAAATCCATGGTTACAAGTAACAAGTCACATCAAAGAATCATTGTACATTTGAAAACTATTTTGATCATAGAAAAATAATATTAAGAGGATATTGTTTCGTCTGAGTGAAATATGGAATATATTTATATATATGATTCGCAAACTAATTTACAATAGCATGCAAGTTCGTAATTCCGAAACTAAAATGATCTTTTAACTTAAAAAAAATGAAACATCTTTGAAACACGAAAGAGAGTGAAGAAACTTGGTACATTATTAGTGGCACATAACAAAAACATCAGACATTTCTTAACTTTAATTTGTTAATTATTAAAGTAACAATTTAACAATTTAAGGAATAGTTCAATGAACTTTATTTTTCAAAAATAGACAGGTTCATAGATCAAAATAAGAAACTGAGAAATAAGAAATTGTCAAAAGTGAAAGTATTTGAGCCGCACCATGACAAAACCAACATAGTGCGTTTGCGACCAGCATCGATCCAGACCAGCCTGCGCATCCGCGCAGTCTGATCAGGATCCATGCTGTTCGCTTACAAACTATAACAAGTAGAGAAACTGATAGCGAACAGCATGGATCCTGATCAGACTGCGCGGATGTGCAGGCTGGTCTGGATTTATGCTGGTCGCAAACCCATTATGCTGGTTTTGTTATGGCGCGGCCCCTTTTTATTTTTATACTATAATATAGCTAATTTACAAGATTTGATCGTATTGAAGTTTATGAAGGATATACATTAGAAGTTATTGTTCCAAACTCGGGTTGCACACACTGTTGCGTAACTACGAATAGACATTACATTATCCTCTTGTCGTGTCATACAATTCACGCAAATATATTTATCAACAGATAATTAGTTTACATGAAATTTGAAACTGCCACTAACAATTCTATGATAATAATAATAATAATAATAATAATAATTATAATAATAATAATAATAATAAGAAGAAGAAGAAGAAGAATAAATAACAAAAACAACAACAAGCAGCAACAACAATAATAACAACAACAACAACAACAACAATTTAATAATAACAACAACAACAACAACAACAATAATAATAATAATAATAATAATAACAACAACAACAACAACAACAACAATAACAACAACAACAACAACAATTTAATAATAATAATAATAACAACAACAGCAACAACAATAATAATAACAACTACATCAATG